AGCTTACTAGCTTATGGGTAACTTCGGCCCTCAAGTCATTAAATGATTTTTTTTTTTTAATTTAAAATCCTTATTCTGGCCAAATCTGATTTTATACGAAGAGACAGACATTCGTTAAATACAAACAAAACAAAGTAAGGACAGCTATCTTTTCTTTGACCAAGACAATTTTGACACAACCATACAGAGCAAAGTGACGACATCATAAATTTAGTGAGACGTCACAATGGTAAACAATCATTTTTTTTTTAAATTTCAAATTATATATATATAAATATATATTACCATACCCTCTATGTGTACAAAATCCTGAGTTGTAGCTAGTACAAAAGCTGTCATGCAGACGTACTAGGTACTGTCTAATGATATTCTGTCAGCCAAAAACCGTAAAAGCCTGAAAAATGACTTATTTGTGGCTAGAGGATTAATGATTGTTATGACTATGAACACACTCTGCCAGGTGGCGTCATCATCTATACGTATGGCTCATTGACTCGTGAATAGCGGTTTAGGTGACATACACAGCGCAGGTGAATATGAGATCACTAAACAAAGATTTTCATGCATTAACTTTAACTACTTCTAGTATGACAATGGAGATAAAAGCTGTCACGTGGGCACATGCATGATTGGCGGAACAAAATAAACTCATGCATAGATAGTGACAGATTCACTGAGCATGCTGAAGAAGAAGATCCAGATTGGCAAACGCCGACTAGAACGGGTTGACAGTATTTAGAAGTACCGTCGGGGCACACTAGGACACGGCGGGTGGAAAGGAAATGGAAGAGCCGACAGACTGACCGTTTCAGCATTGGCTGGTGGAGGAAGAAGTATGGACCGTTGAAAGGAGATATGTTAATCTATTCCTACTACATACTGTGAGCTTTGAAAGGTGAGATGGCTGCTGCATCGTAGGACGAATCGGCCTGACTCATGTGCTAGGCTATCGATACTGATAATGAATAAGAATTATGAAATAGTCAAAGGGATTAAATTGAAAACATCTTAGACAGAACAATTGAAGTAACAATAGCTAGGGTTACGTTTAAAATAACAACTAGATGGCTAATACGGAGGTAAGAAATGCAAATGATGTAACCAGGAAGCAACAAGCACATTGAGAGTTGCATGATACTAAAAGAATTAGGTCTGCATTATTAATAAAACAACACTAATAAAACACAGCAATAAACGAAAACAGTCGCACAGACAGCTAATCCACATGATAAATTAAACGAAAAGTAGTTGTACCCTAGCTGAGTGATGCTGTTTAATTTTATCTTCTTCTCTATGCTTCCTCCAACACCCTTTTGTTTGTCAAGGTAGATATGTGGTTTGGGGGCATGCTTTTCTGGGCGCCTAGACATATCATGCCATTGTATTGTTTCCATAAAGCTATCTTTCCATCTTGCTCTTGCTCTACACAATGCACTATTTCTCTTTCATTTAATGGTGAATATCTTGCACGATGTGGCTTCGCGAGGCATTCTACGTTCGCAAACCATTATTTTTGTCTTTGCTATCTTCGGCTTAATTTAGAATTTGCTATGATCCTCTCTCACTCGTCTCTGTCTCTCTCTCTCTCTCTCTCTCTCTCTCTCTCTCTCTCTCTCTCTCTCTCTCTCTCTCTCTCTCATGGAGCTTCCAATTCTGGATAGGCCCTTATGCGACTCCCTTCATATCATTCAAACCTCAACTCGATAGAGCTTGTTTGGGCTAGAGTCAAAAGACGAGTTGACGAAAAGAACAGTATTTAAAATGTGTGATGTTGAAGTTCTGACACGTGAATCCCTCTAAAAATATATACATTCATTTCTGGAAAAAGTGTGTTGAACATGTGCTCTGAGAGGAAGACGAGTGCTGGCACCGAGATGGATTATAGTTTGTTCAGCCAGTGACAATTTTTTACCTTTGAGAACGTCAGATTATGAATGATTTAAAACCAATTTGTGTGTGTGTGTGTGTGTGTGAGGGGGGGGGGATGAGTGGTTGAATATCATCAACCCGTTTGGTACATCTACAATTGCAACAAATACATCTCCATATCCAAATGTGTCAACCATAATACAATTTGCTGTGCAGTTAAGATATATACCGTGGGGTCTAATGGTGACTGAAGGGGAATACTAACTGTTGCATACTGGGGACATGTTTACAATTGAACAAGGCAAACAGATTGGCTGGATCTGCATGACTGGGTGTGAACTGATACATGACAAGGCAGACGTGGACAAGACCCGTTGGGAACAAGTAACGAATTCAGAAGAGAGAATAGATTATCATGGCCTGGAAAGAATAATACACCTGTGTGTGACCAGAGGGCCTGGCCGGCACACTACACTCAGAGGTAAGACATCATAACATATAATCAGACTGCGTCCGGTTTCATTAGCATTGGAACTCTGCGCTAGCTGCTAAAGATGGGGAGGGAGCACATATGTGAATGCCCTGAGTGCTGTGATGTCTTTATTGACTCAGCTCAACTTAGCTCAGTTGAACATAAATGAAAACCAATAAATTGATTTCACCTATTATTGTTTTATGAAGACACTCCTCTGAACAAACAAACAAAACAAACAAACAAAAATGGAAATTCTACAAATTTACAGTGTTTCGAAAAGATCAAAGGAATTGGCTGATATTCATCATCCTGGGCATCTATGGACTAAAGAATACAATTTATTTTTGTCATGAATATTCTAAGGCTGCATGCAAAAAATCATTGCGATCTAACAGGCAGTTTTCGATAAAATGGCTTGCGTGTGTGTTTATCAATTGTTGAACGAACTATAGTAACATTTTTTTTAATGTTCAATCAGTTTTTGGCTTCAGATTGACTTTGGCAGACGCAGTTTTGCCTGAACAGTAAAGGAAACAAGAGGTACATCACTCACACAAGGTACAGTATTCAAAGAATATTAACACAGAAAACATTGTGGAGGCTCTGGATCGGGGATGGGGGAGGGGGGGCGTGGGGAGGGGGGGGGGGCGTGGGTAGGGGGCGTGGGGAGGGGGCGGGTGTCTTCTGGATAGGGGCTACAGGAAACGTCATCTGCAGAGGAGGGCTTTAGAAGAAGGGAGCTTCAGAGGAGGAGAGGGCCTAGGGAGAGGGTGGCTTCTGGAGGAGGGGGTGCTTAGTACTCTTATGAATTGTCGGGGAGGGGGGGGGGGGTTCCTAAGACTGTTAGAGTGCATAATAATAATAATTAGCTTATTTGCAGATAAATATAATATTATATTTTTGAAATAAAATGAAGTGTTTAAATCGCGTTCATTTGACAACCCTCCCAGTGGGTTTTTTCTCCTCCAAAACATGAAACAAATAACAGGTGTGTCATAATTTGAAAAAAAAAAATTCATTTTGGATGAATTATGCACCACAGACTGATCATCAAAGTCAATGTAGGCACTGAGGTGAGCATCTAATTGCTCATATAGGCTGCAAATGCCATCTGCAAAAACGGACTGTGGTTAATCACTAAACCAAGTGTTTACCGAGTCAGCATCTCTCGTACCTACTGTGAACACAGCTTCCGATAATGGAGGTTTTACAACCTAAGTGAACAGTCCCAACTGAACACATCGATTTGATTCGCTATCCAACGTATTTTTCGACAGCGGTCCACCTGTTTGCTACATCCATTTTTACGATGAATTTGTTGTTAAAATGTTGCAGCAATATGACTGTGCAATATCTTAGTCAACTTACGTTCTGTCGGAGAAATTTGCAATCTGACTGTCACTGTCGGCTTTGACAAATATGTTACCGTACCCTATCTGCACTCTTAGACGAATGTCCACCGGTTGGCATTCTTCATAGAAAAGAATCTGCACCACCCCTGTTTAAGCTTCCCTGGGCTAGTTTAGGATCAACCTGACCATTTTCACAATGGTCAGTAACAGAAACTTGGCATCATAGGATGATAAACACGTGCTCTTTTATTCTAAATCCAGTACTTATCACACGACTAAATCATGACACGCAGGGAAGTGGTCAAGCCGTTTGCGCGTTCTGAAGATAAGGTCGCGGGTTCGTTTCGCGGCCTTGCCCTTTAGTCCTGGGGTGCATTTTTTTACGGAGATCTCTGAAGATCGTCGCTAGAGCTACAGGGTTCATGCTTTCTGCCACGCAGGCGGCTTGCTGTTCTGCGGAGAAAGACCGAGCCATGTGGGATAAAAACCTGTGCAGTAAAGTAAATCCTCTTGATTCCTAACTTTAACTTCATGATGACGTTCAACCCACCTAATTACGCGCGGTGCTTAACGAACTGGTTTCAAATTAATGCTCCTTAAAAAAAAAAATCAAATATTTATAAGAGAGATTGGTTAATTTCACGATAGTTCCTCCTCCTCCCCCCCCCCCCCCCCCCCCAGAGCCCGCCCATTTACGCACTAGCTCACTTCTGATTGGTAGTTCCTGAGCCACGCAACTTCGCACACTCCTACGGGGGGTGTTCGGCAATGCCGTTGATATCGCGTATTGTATATTACAGCACGCCAGTGCTTTTAACACTCCAAAAACATAGATAAACTGGGTCTAACACAACTCCCCTATTGGGTGCTGCAACCTATGTCACGGGCATTCTCTTTCTCGGAAGAAAAACTTACATGCAAGACAACCCAAAAAGCAAACAACAAAGCGGCACATCCATAACCCCCGGGGAAAGTAGATCAGTGGAAAAAAGTTATCAATGGAACATGACCAACTTTGTTTGGGAAGATTTACGTCGAATTGAAAGGGAGCTTCTATACATGGTTGGATGGAAGTGGGGGTGGAAAGGGGGGGGGGAGGGGGTGCTCACTGCCTTATTTTACTTGTAAATTTTCTCGAGAGGGCCCAGCGATGACCTACTTTAGTAGGTCCCACTAAAGTAGTTCATATCTCCGTACTTTCCGCCCCTACAAATATTCCTCTGGTAGGGACGCTCAAGGGGCCTGGACTTATCAGTTCTGACGCTGTTGATATAAACAAATGGCTATACTGCTTGCTGCAAATATTAAGACATTGAGTAAATAGTGGTGTTGATCCAGGCCAGATATTGCTGGGTGTTGATGTAGATTCCGGGTTCGCCAGGTAGAGCGCAGTTGTTGCCGTTGGAGACAATGCCGACTACAAACCAAGCTGCCGAGTTGGGTGTTCTTTTAACACACATCAGAGGGCTGCCTGAATCGCCCTAGAAATGTTCAAACACATGCAATTGTTTTAATATGGAGTTGGAAAACTAATTAATATAATCAAATGAGTATGTGGTAAAAGTAAATTCGGGAGATGTGAACCAGCGTCATTGCACACGATTATAAACCATAAGTGCTCTGCAACCAGTACGGACAGGTGACAAGAAACTGTCCGCCTGTGTCGCCGTCCGCACGCAACTCCGTAGCTACAGCGACGTTCCTCAATTTACCTCAGTGTGTAAACTCTGGTACCCATTACCTAGAGGCTGGGTAAACCTCGGGAACCGCCCGGTGTCGAACACCGGCCGTCAGCTGCAGCGAGTCGCAGCTTGATTAGAAAGCGAGTCTCCTATCGACTGCGCGAACGCGGACGTTGTGTAAACACATACACACACACACAGAAACATACAAATACATATTTTCTACTGTCATATGTTCCCGTTGTCTCTTTCTGATGTGTCAAGCTGACTTCGGGTTCCTGCCATTTTCAAGTAGTAACGATTACTCTTTTTTTTAGCAGTCTAAATGATATTCCAATATACACACCAACATACATACACACCAGGGCTGTACCGAATAGTGATTTTCACTATTCGGCCGAATACGAATAACTGGACCAACTATTCGGCCGAATACGAATACAAATACGAATAGTGAATCATCATCAGGTGCTTTGCCGACTGGCATGGGTGATTATGCCTCGCCACAATCTGCGATCTGCTGCAGCATGTATTAGTTCGTGTGCTGACACACCTCCATGCCATGCAACAAGACTGTCAAGAATCTTCTCACGTTGTCTTCCTCTATCCCTTCTTCCACAGATCTTTCCAGTGGCCACCACATGTTCCATTTTCCCTCTTCTCATAACATGGCCGAAAAATAATGACTGTCTCCTTCTGATGTCTGTGATTAGTTGTCTTCGGGCTCCCACCTTTTTTTAAAAACCTTTTAGTTGCTTTTTTTTTTTTTTTTAGCTGTCCAAGGTATTCTAAGCATTCTCCTGTAAAACCACATCTCTAAGGCCTTAGGAAATTGTTTGGCCTGCCTACCGATTGTCCAGGACTTACAGCAATACGTTAAAACTGGATGTATGTAGCAAGCAAGAATTCTTTTTTGAATCTTCAAAGACAAAGATTGCATAAGATGTTCTTCATTTTATAAAATGCAGTTTTTGCCTGTCCTATTATGTTTCTTATTTCAGTTATGCATCCTTCCATCTGATGTTATCCATGTGCTAAGATACTTAAATTTCTGTACTTGTCTCAAAAAACAAACAAAAAAAACCATTGACTTTTATTTCACATTTAGGAATAATTATTTTCTTTGATTCCACCATTACTTCTGTCTTACCACTATTCAAACTGAGGCCCATTCTTCCACTTTCGTGTATAAAATAGATCTATAAAGAAAACATCCATAATGTCAAATGTACTCTGAAATTTTACTTCACAAAATGTAGTACAGAATAGTAAACATTTAAAAATATTTCATGTTTTGCATCCTTGAGTCAGTGAGTCTGTGGTAACTAATACATAGGAATGAAAGTATTCTTAGTTTTATAACACGTAACTAAACTTGTAAATTGTCACTGACATCTTAGTTAATCCATGAAAGCGGTAGTAGCTTTCTCGTTTCATGTTGTCAGCATTAGGGCAACTTCTTGTCTCACTGAAGGTATTTACAGCTGTACTAAACATGCGATCACTTGGTACGCTCGTATGTGGTGCACAAAGATAACGCTTGACAGTATGAACCAAGGTGGGAAATCTTGATATGTTTATTTTCTACCAGTCCAGAAAAGAGTGTAAGGTAACCACTATTCGTATTCGGCCCGACCGCAACTATTCAGCCGAATACCGAACAGTTATTAGGTCCAATATTCGGCCCCGAAGCGAATACGAAGCGAATATTCGGTACAGCCCTAATACATACACATGTACACACATACATACAAGCAAACATACATGCAGACATACATACACACATAAACACACACGCACATAAATATCTGCACACATAAAGGTCAATTACTGTTTTGTTTATCATCATCATCATCATCATCATCATCATCATCATTAGTCGCGCTGATAGACGTCAAGTTTCGCCATCTCACACGATCATCAGAATCACAGATTAGATCATTGTTCTTGTATCACCCATTCATGTGGCTAAGCCATGCAAGTATTTATTTATCTGCCTGCCTTTTTCTTGCTTTCTTTCCATCCACCTTGTCTTATGTTGCCAAAATCTTCAAGCACGAAATGCATCGGTCTGAAATGCAAAGAACCAATATTCTGCATCTAAATAAGCCAGATCTGTAAAATGGATGTGCACGCTAAACTTAAGTTCTGGACTAGGAGCAAAGTCCGGGAGTGGACGAACAATCAAAACTTTTCTCCGAAGTTTACCGCCGTTGAATGCAAATAAGAAAAAAGAAAGAAAGAAAGAAAGAAAGAAAGAAGAAGAAGAAGAAGAAGAAGAAGAAGAAGAAGAAGAAGAAGAAGAAGAAGAAGAAGAAGAAGAAGAAGAAGAAGAAGAAGAAGAAGAAGAAAAGGGAAGAAGAAGAAGACACAGACATATGTGCGTATGTTGCTCTAGTGTACTGGTCTAAAGAAGCCTATATACACACCTTACAGGCATCTTTGCCCCCTAGCTTTCCGTTGGCAGCACATATGTTTCCGGTGTGTAAATATTTGCCTAGATCAGTAGCTGTGATGTGAAACTCGTTGAAACACTGTGTTCTGTTGTAAACCTGTAATTCCACCTTCATTAACACACTGGGAGGGTCGATGTCTGAAACAAGGAACACTTATAACCTGACACTGATGTTAGTGCACACAGTCTTACAGTATTGTTCTTAAACAACACAGCATAAGTACTCATTGTACTTCTGACATCACACACACACAACTACTTACTGTCCTAAAAACACTTTAAAGTATAGTATTCTACACTATTACCAACACTTAAAAGTACTCAGTGTACATCCAACAATACACACAAGTACTCACTGTATTTCTAACAACAGTTAAAACAATACACACTGTATGTCTAACAATATACACAATTAGTCACGGCACTTCTAATACCACTTAGAATTACACATTATGCTTCTAACAATGCTCAAAACAACTCATTTTACTTTTTACAACACTCACAATTATTCCTTGTACTTCTAAAGACATATAAAACTAAACACTGTAATTCGGAGACATAAAAGTAATCCTTAATAATTTATCACCCCCCCCCCCCACCAACCCACTCCCCCCCCCTTCCCCCCCCCTCAAATTACTCACTATCGGTTGAACAAGACTAGTAATTATCCACTGGGTTTTAAGAACACAAATACGCGTTCAGTGCAATGTGGACGACATCCAAGAGTATCTGTACCTCTAGCAACAGACACATTCTTAGTTTGTGATACACAAACCCCAAAAAGTTAGAAACTGACTACTCAAAGTTCGTGTGGGATCAGTACTCATGCCTGTCTACAAATGTCTGTCATGTGTTACTGTCAATCATTTTTATAAGCTTTCATTATGTTTGGATTGTTTTTATTGTTTGTTTGTTTGTTAATATGGATGGCTGTTTGCAATCGATTTGAATACTATTTTTCTAAACATGTAACGCCTCATACTCCCCCACAACACACCCATTTGCCATTGTCTAAGGTCGTCTCACTTAGAGACTCCATTGCCTCACACATTCCAGCTTTCCCGTCATCATGACACATTCCAGCTTTCCTGTCATCATGACACATTCCAGCTTTCCTGTCATCATGACACATTCCAGCTTTCCTGTCATCATGACACATTCCAGCTTTCCTGTCATCAAGACACATTCCAGCTTTCCTGTCATCATGACACATTCCAGCTTTCCTGTCATCATGACACATTCTAGATTTCTTGTTGTTATAACAATATTCCAAGTCTGCCCCATTCTCGTGAAATAGTCAAGTTAAGCAAAGGACTCTTTGCCACGCTTTCAGGCGTCAGGCCTATATTATTTAGACCAATCGGCATGTGAAGAGTGATGTGGTCAGCATCACGCCGGCCGCCTTTACTTTCCAAGACTAGTATCCACTCAAGGCTGGGTCAACTTGGGAGCCGAGGTAATTTTGTTAACCTCTTATGATATTCCAAAAGAACATAGACTGCCTAGTTTTTTTCTTTCTTCCTCTCTCTCTCTCTCTCTCTCTCTCTCTCTCTCTCTCTCTCTCTCTCTCTCTCTCTCTCTCTCTGCTAGTTTTTTTTTTTTTCAAGACGTCTTAAAAAGGGTAATTCTTTCAAGCCAATTTAGCTCTTTCCGTGGGCTCTCATCAATCATCATCAACTGCCTTGCCGACTGGCGTGTGTGATAATGCCTCTCCAGAATCTGCGATCTGCAGCTGCACAGTTCGGTGTTGACGACTCTCCATGTCAGGACATAAGGCGGTTCGCACTGTCTTCCTCAGTCTCTTCTTGCAAATATCGTTCCAGTGATCACACTTTCACAATCCAAAACGTTTTGAAGGACACATTTAAGCATATTAGCAAGTGATCATTAGCAGTTGATCATGCACACCAAACCAAAACTATCTACTGTTTAGATCCAACTTTGCCTAGACAGACATTCTCCAGTGTGTAGACATACTATTTCTATGAGTTCGAATGCCAGACAGCCAGTAGCATGTCCTTTGCAGAACCTTGCTCCAATAACAACCCTCCGGAAAACTTCTTCATCACAAGCAAGATGTCCCGCGTCCGATACACCTATCTTGGGATCGTCCGCTACATCCTGCACCCATCTTCTCTTTGGCCTTTATCTTCCTCTCTTCCCAGGCATATACCCCTTCATTTTTCTCCTTAAACTTTCGTGACGTTTCAAGTGACCACAATATTTTAATTTTCTTTGTTTCATCTTTTCTAACAGCCAACCTTCTTTAATATTCAGTCCTTGAGGTATGGGTGTATTTGTTCTTTTCTTTACCCATGATATCCTTAGAACCCGTCTATATCATTTGTATTCGAAGGTATTTATGCGCTGTTCAGCTTGTTTAGTAAGTGTCCAGGTCTCACAGGCGTAAGTTGCAATGGAAAAGATGCATGCTCTTAGAAATCTAATTTTTGTAGTTATGTCTGTCTGACTCCATAATTTATTCAGTTGTTTTAGTCTTTGAAGAGCAATTGATTGTCATCGTAAAATTTCTTTCATTGTGTGACCATTGTTGGTAATCAATGACAGATATTCAAAACTGTCTACAACCTCAAGTCTTTCCTCATTTACATGTATTTCTTTCTCCATAGTAGTTTCATCTGTATGGATTATCTTTGCTTTTGCTACGTTGAGATATAAGTTGTGATTTTCACTATTTCTTTGCGTTGAGATTATTAAGTTTTTCTATACCAGTCTGTGATGTAGATAGCAGTACTGTATCATCGGCATATCTGATCTTTGGTATCATGGCAACCGATATTTAGAGCATTATATATGCTCACTGGTTATTTCATTTATGCTATTTCTCATTATATTTTCGGTGTATGGGTTAAACAAATAGGATGACAGCACACAGCCCTGACTGACTCCTTGACTGATGTCAAACCAGTCTGATATTTCGCCATCTGTTCTAACCGCTGCTTGTTGGTCTAGATAGAGCATTGTTATAAGGTGTACACATATTCCTCATGCTTTCCTAAAGTTTCTGATGTTGTACACAGCCAAATGCCTTTGAATAAACCAGAAAACATAAACATAGGTTTACATTAAATTCTCTGGATTTCTCTATTATTAAACGCATGTTGAGGATGTGATCTCTTGTCCCCCCCCCTCCCGCGCCCGCCCGTCCCCCCCCCCTCCACCTCACCCTTCCTTGTCTAAATCCAGCTAAAACCACACTAATCTCTTCTTCCATTTTCTTACGAAGTCTTCCAAGTTTGATTTTTAGTAGAATTTTACTTGAATGACTGATCAGGGCAACAGTTCTATAGTTGGTGCATAATTTCAGGTTGGTATTGGAATGAAGATAGTTCTTTTCCAGTCATTTGGCCATATACCATATTTCCATATCTTGTTACATCATGCGTGATAGATGTGTATGCTTTCTTCCCCTCCCGCTTTTATCAGTTCAGCTGGTATCTCATCACATCCTGGGGATTTACTATTCTTGAAGTTCGAATACGAGGATACAACAGCCTAGACATTACCAAAGCAACAACAAATGTGTACCTTCTGTTTTGCCCCAGCCAGCAACGGTGCATATCTGTTCTAAAGTATCTGTTGGTGAGGGCAGGCAAGCAGGCAATACTGACTCATTGAATTCTAGAGGCTGTGCCAACTTGAGCATTGCAATATCGTTGGCTGCAACGAATTATTTATATTCATTGTTTAGTGTGGATATGTATAAAATATTGAGTGTACAATTTCTCAGTTTAAATCAAACAGTAAATCTATGAATGAGCAATTATCCAATGTCTGTCATTAAACAAATAAAGGTAAAGGCAAGATTACTACCATGTCTTTTTGTCTACACAAAACTGAACTAGAAAACAGTAGCAACCTACGATTGTTTGATGTAAAATGATTTCAGGATGTGTTATACTAGTGATTTATGTATAGGCATTGTATGTGCGAAAAGAGTAGCCTAACGGCGCTGCCCGGGCAAAATTTGGAGTTAAAATCTACATAAAGTATTTTCGGATCCTCGCCGGTGCTACAGAGCCTGTGCACTGTGCTGAGCTTCTTCGGACTCAGACTTGAGTTAAAGGAAGAACGGAGCACTTATGGGTTGCTACCCGTGTGCCACAATGTTGCTCCGTTGTTCAAACTTCAAACTTCAAATCTTTATATACACACATTTACCATATATTTTGTCAGGGATGCTGCAACAAAGACATTATTAGGGAAGGGCACGCTGTGCTCCCTTATAGTTTTATAGGGATCGGGGGGGGGGTGGAATCAAGGGGCTTAAGCTACGTTGAAGTTCCCAATTATTATATTATTATCATTATTCATGTTTGTAATAAAATGAAATCTACTCGTTAAAACACATACTTAAAAAAAAAAAAGAACCACCCGTGTGTTACCTGGGCCCTCAAAGGAAGCAAAGAATAGTAATAACACTGCATCCCACACGGCATGTCGTAAGAGGCGACCAGGGGCAGGTGTTGGGCTTGGGGTTGGCTATCTCCTCCTGTAAAAACAGTAGCCACAAAAGCAAACCATAGAAACGTCAAGTAGAGAAACAAGAAAAAAACCCAGTCAAACAAGTTGAGGGGAGGCCCTTCTAATAGAAGAAAGATAACTCGTTGCGGACAAAGCCAAAGGATTCTGGATCGTCGACGTAGCTCTTTTCACATAGGAAAACCTCCAGAATTGGCACCTGGAATGTTAGAACTTTGCACGATGTCAGAACAACATCAGAGATATAAAGGTAAATGACAAATAATCTGATTAGTATTTTAGGATTATGTGAAACTAGACGGATCGGGGCGTGGAAAAGTATTCTAAATTCAGGAAAAATGATTTTGTTGACAAGACTTATAGAGGAACAGTTTCCTCACAGTGAAGGATAATTTTATGTTGGTAAAATACAATCAAGTTGAAGCGTAAAAAATATATATCTGACATCGTATAATCATAAAAACTAGTATAATGTAGGATGTCTCATGGATAACGAAGTTAAGGAATAATTTTTAGTAACCGGCTATAATAGGTACCAGGTGTTGCAGCAGTTAGCTGAAGAAGAAAGCATTTGAAGTCTGCTGGGATCAGATCAACGGCATTTCGAATGAATCTTGTGTAAATGTCCGTGGCAAAAGAAAAATGAAAACATAAAGCATGGACAACATCTGAAACCATTAAAATGATGGAAGAAAGGAAAGTAAAAAGGCAGATCTAAGCAAAAGCAAACTAGAGCTGCCGAAGCTAGGGATCAGGCAAAATACACAGAAGCTAATAAAGAAGATAGGAGAGGTGAGGGGGGGGGGGAGGGCAGATAAAAGAAAATATTTAGATGACCTAACAAAAGAAGCGGAGGTAGCAGCAGCAAAGAAGACACCAGATACGTTCATATTACCACAAGGGAATTAGTAGGTAAATACAGTAAGCCAACTGAATCAATCAAAAATAGCCAAGGAAAGGTGCTCACTAACACTAAAGATGAAATCGACAGATGGGCTGGCTATGTGTGAAATACTTCTAAATAGATCAGCCGGTGAGGTCCCTACAGATACCCAGCCTTTAAAAATGGAACTGGGTGTCAACTATGAGATACCAACTAAAGTGGAAACTAGGAAAGCCTACAATCTTCTGAAGGAAGAGAAAGCTGCAGGTCCAGATGGTATCCCAGCAGAAGTTATAAAAGCCAATATAGAGACAACGGAATTGCTGCTGTACAGCTCATTCAATACAGTCAGGGAAACCGAAGAAATACCAGCAGACATCTGGGATATCTGGTTTTTTTTTTCGAGACTGTCCCCTAACGCGCGCACACACAGGCGCGAGCGCGCTCGCACACACACACACACAAGGTGATCTGCAGCAGTGTGAAAACTATAAAGGAATTATGTTGCTGTCAGTTCCTGGAAAAAGTAGGATCATTTTGAAAAACTAAAAGATGTTACTGATAAAAAGTCTAAGAGATGAACAGGCCTATTTCAGCCAAACAGATCCTGTACTGACCAGATAGCCACATTAAGCATAATAACAGAGCAAAAAATTGAACTAAACTGACCACTATTCCCTGGATTCATAGGACATGTGGTGAGCTGCATACAACAGCAAAGAATAGAACGACTTGGGGTGAGTTGGTTGACGGCCAATGCCCCACTGCGTTGGGGTGTGGGTCGGGTAAGGCAGGAGAGGAAGAGAAAAAAAAAAGAGAAAGTCTAAAAATGATTATGAGGAGTCACTAAGTCCCATGCACATTTTTAATGCGGTTGTCATAAGCTCCTCCAACCCCTAACATTATCCGGGCAGGCCGGCTCACCCCTCCCTAAAAATGGAAGAAGCGGCCTAATGTGGCTTTAAAACCAGCTTACACACATTATCCTTACACTCCAAGAAGGAAAGTGAAGCGCATCGGAGAGGAAGAAGAAGGAAGGGGGAAGGAGGAGGAAGAGGAGGAGAATAAGAAGAATAAGGATTATGGATATTCCACAATAGTATATACGCGCTTAGCCAACTCAAGCCAAGCTGCCTGTCGTGTCACTATCCACTTGCGAGTAATGACCGATCCCTACTGGATTGACCCCAAAAGCGACTAAGCAGATCCTCTCAGCTTTAAAATAAATTTTAGAACCACAAAAAAGGTTAGTTGCGTATCCTTTACCGGACGTTGCAGAACCAACCCCATCAGCCCCTGGCTGTTGTGTGGTTTCACTAGGCAATTTACGTCCAGTAGTTTGCGATTGCCCTCTGGACGGTCAGCTCCCTGATACCACTGTCGAAACCAACGCAAGGCGTATGGCCCGCAGCTGGGATCGAACCCGGTACCCCGGCATTACGAAGCGTTCGCATCGACTTAGCCACAGAGCTGATATCTGGAATAAAATAATCTTTTAGTCTTTCAAAATGATCCTACTTTTTCCAGGAACTGACAGCAACATAATTCCTTTCCATAATTAAAATAGGCAAGAAGACTTTAGAGATGTGGATAATTTCAAGAATATACGTTCGCATGAAATATGCTGTCTAGATCAGCAATTTCGTCTCTCATATAAACTTCACTCTCGTTTTTTAGTTCTTACAATGGTCAGTAGAGTTTACGTTCCACTGTTGTTCTTTTTAGCCAAAAGTTCAGCCCGAATGTGTCAGATTCGGTGCTGTCCTAAAATAGGGGTTCTGCTGAGGCAACTTTCCACAGGTGCACATGGCTGATACGCCTATCTTGAAATTCGTGTAAATATGGTTGCGTAATCGGTTGTTCTCTGTTCTGAATCGAAGGATAATGGCTTGTTGTGACCTGTTCTTAACAGAGAAGTTATCTTGTTCTGTGATTCTTTATGATGTTGCTTCATCTTGTAGTGGCAAAGTGAAGGGGTGGGGCTTGTGAGTTCCAATGAACCAAAGAGCTATACCGGCGGTGAAGTACAACAAGCAGGATCTTCCATGTGATTTTATAGGGCAATTGATAGGAGCCAGAGAAATATGCAGACACAACCATGTTACCCTGCAGGTAGAAGAATATGGAAGACAAAGCTAAGGAAAGTAAACCCGAAATATTTTACGACAGGCTTAACAAGTGTCGTGGAATGATAAGCCATTACACATCACCCCTGAAGAGTAGGGACTTGACTTACCTGTGCTCGACACAACTTTTAAACTTGGACTCGTCCGGGAAGGTATATAGTTCCTTATATCGATATATGCCTTTATCGGACATAATTATAATATCTACATCTTCTAGTTGCTTTGACTTAGCGTCATTTTCAAATTTGTAACTATTTGATAAATATTACTGGAGTTATTTGAGGTTTCTTAGAAACCGGTTTACTCCTTGCTCATGTATACAAGGAACTCCTTCTTACCAACGCCTGAAGTGAGAATTTTGTGCCATTATTTCTGCCGGCTTTCCTAGCGTTCAGATGTATACATCGACGCCAGAAAATTTCACTTTCAGAAGGTGATCTGTAATGTCGGGACTTTTCCTATGCTTGGGTAAGTTAATTATAGTTTACGAGTACCTTAAATGATGTCTGTTAAAGTGGTCACTGCTGTAGAGAGATCAGTATCGGCTATGGGATCACACATAGTTCGACCGTTCTTGATCGCTAGAGAAGCGGATTCAAACTTAGACCTTCCTCTGTACAGACTAAATGCCTATGCCCTAAATAACCCACACATACTGGTAAAACTAATAACCTTACAAGTGTGTACCATTTAAACTAACAACAGAAGTTTGTGCATACGAATAGGGACAGAATTTAGGTTAGTACTTGGACAGACAGAGCTGCATGAGTGTGTTTGACCCTGATCAATGGATGTGTGGAAATGACTTGAGAGTCGTAGGGAATAGGGGTATTGACGGTAAATAGTGGTGTCTGTGTGCAGAGGGGAGGGGGGAGAGATTGATATATGTGTGAGAGTGTCTATCTATCTCCACTATATGTCTGACTTTCCATCTCTTACACTAAACAGACAGATGAATGATAGGAGACATTGTCTGCTGGTCTTGAGAGTGCACTCTGAGGAATGAAACAGAGGAGCAGAGGTGGAGTAGGCTGATGTGGGATGGTGACTGATACTTATTCTGTCTTTCCTGTCAAGATGATGCCCTCTTGGTGATGACTAATTCTGAGTTCTTTCCTGACAGGATGAAACCTATGTGAAAAGCTGGCAGAAAAATCACAGTCAAACCAACACCCACCAACCAACCATCAACCTATTACCAACCAATTATCACCCAACTACCAGTTGTGAAGACTGACATCATCAGTTTGGGTTGCCATATACCCCAAACATCCTACAGTGCCAGAGCATGTGTGTAGCTCAGGGAAAGTGATGCGAATGACTAGTGGGAGAGATTTGCTGTGTGCCTATCCAGTTGCTGTGTCCTTTATGGTGAGGTACTCCTCCACCATCTGATCCAGTTGAGGCAGAATTACCAAAGACAGTCGAATCATCAGGAGCTGAGGGAAGCATCAACGATAGAAAGAGGATAAGTGCCGGTTAATGCCATGTTTTGCTATATTCCCCACAGCTCCCATGTTTCCCAAGGATGAAGATGTGTCATCTCCAGATCATTCTGGCTGTTTGGTTGTCTTTGTAATCTGGACATTGTATTCTGGAATCCAGCTATTGAGATCTGGCATCTACTTCACTATTTTATATATGTATATGTTGTATTGATTACATGCATTCATTTTCATGGCTGACTTAGGTGTCTCTATTTCACCTTTTTAAGTGTTTAGCATTTGTGTGTGTATGAATCTTAAATATATGTGTTAACATGGTTATGATAATGAACTATCATAACCTGGGGGCTTTCTTTAGTAAGTAGTGGGGGTGTCCAGCCAAGTGTGCCTAGGAATATTGTATTTATATACAGATATATTTTGTAGTGCCAAAACTTGAGTTGCCCTATTCCAGAAATAAGTTGATCGTATATTGGCCACGGGGAATCCCTTAGAAAAATACGAGCCAAACGACTCAACATAATTATTTCTGTGTGCTGTTGGTTGTGAAGGAGAAATCCTTATATCAGGCACGTGACAACAAGACAGGGAAAAACTCGCTTCGTGCTGACTGTAGATGATACTCACACATCACAGCTTTATCGTAGTCTTCGTGAATGACGAAAGATGAGACATCTCTTCTTTGCTCTGTTGGGTCTCGTTCCTCCAGACTCGTAATGTATTTCCCAGCAATGATTTCATAGCGATTGGATTCTATGTGTCTGGAGAAGGAAGAAAACAAACAGTAGAGGTATATCTGATTAGGAATATTTCGTTTAGAGGCTACAAAAAATGCCAATATCAATTAGCGTAGTACCTGAGAAGGCAGGCTACAAGACAAGAGGTCGGCCAATAAAGGGGGGTAAATAGAGTAAAAGAGACATGAAAGAAACGCATTATAACATAAATGCAAGCTAAACAACCAGCGAAAGACGGGAAACTACAATGGTGTCTCGTTCGCGTTGGTATACGCCCAACTTGGTATACGTTCTGTTTAGACGTTAAAAATATGCTCGGCGTACCACCTTTATTTGGAATACTAGAACCTGTATGAGTGAAAATGAGTCACAGCACCAGGCGCTAACAATGTTTACTTTTCTCATTAATTAAGGAAGTGTTTGTCAAATGGATGGATGTCGAAAATGTTGCTGAGAAGTGCTACCCCAACAAAGCTAAAACAAGCCGTACTAGAGTTGTTTGGAATGACCAGTCATTGTGTCATTGTGAAATGTTCGAGACATTCTGAGGAAAATACTGAAGCAAAGTTCTTTGGACTGACTTTGTGTGTGTGTAAAAGTCAAAAGTGGCGGACCTCAACCAGATCCACGCTGGTAATGAGAGAGAGAGAGAGAGAGAGAGAGAGAGAGAGAGAGAGAGAGAGAGAGAGAGAGAGAGAGAGAGAGAGAGAGAGAGAGACTACATTGGCATTTCAGATTGCTGAAGTGTCTCCTTCCAAACATTAACATTTGCTCCTCCCGTCTCAGCACCACCCTCGTTGGCATTCGACTCTTCTTAGCAAGGTAAAATGAGGTTACATTTTTATTTATTTCATCCAATTGCTTTTGTATTTATGTATTTTAGTATTAAGCAGTGTTCAAACTATTTAATACAAACCCATCAATCTATAATGTACGAAAACCAGTCAGATTGTTTTCTTTATGTGAAATGAGAGTCACCGTGGCGTTAGCGGCTAGATAACGGCTGCGGATCGGAAGATCGTGGGTTTCGCGTCTTGACAGAGACAGACATATTTTTTTTTTTCAAAATTGACCTGACGCCCAGGTGGACCTAATCTTGAGTAGTTACCAGCTGCAGTCCTGGGAAGTAAAGGCGGCCGGTGTGATGTTGACCACATCACCCATCAAGTGCCGATTGGTCTATAAAAATAGGTCTAGCCCCAATATTTCCAATATGCCTAAAGGTGTGGGAAATGGACCTTTCCCTTCTTTTTTACTTAACAGGAACTAATTAATCATTTATAAATTTTTTTATTATTTTTTTATTGCCGGAAAATTAGTTTTTTTACACGTCCTGTTTGGTATACGTCCAAAGATCTGGAACAGAATAAGGAATATACCAATGTACCACTGTGCATCTAACTCCTCTTTGCGACGCTTTACAGCATATGAAGTGGGACAGAAGGAGACGATTAGATATTGAGAAAATCTTCATGGCTGCTGGTTCTAACCCACTTCCCAGCGGATACGTTACCATCAAGATTATTATTCAACGCAGGGTTGCTAAACTGAGAAAAAAGACCTTCCAGACAATCGTTCGCTAATTAAGAAATGGATGTCAACAATTATCGGCGTGTCCCGCCCCCGCCCCTCTCCCTGTCGGTGGATTGATTGATGGGAAAGATAAGATATCACACTTCAGGACAAACAGGACCCACGATATCAGGCCAAGAATGGCATCAGCCAAACATACATATAGTCATAAGACAAAATAACGGAAGTATATTTAACCAAAGGAAATGAATAATGATGTAAGAAAAAAAAAGTGAAGCATAATTTATAGACCAGTGGAAACTCAATTTAGGAAACGGTAAACATCAGGCCGATAACTTTTCATTCTTAGAACATTTGCTAGTACTCATTTTAGACTAGGTCGCCCTGAGAGTCCAGATTGATTTTAAACATCTCCATCAATGCGAAACTGAAACTTTGACACAGGGTCGGCGGACAAGAATGACGGTCCTTGTGCTACGGTGGTTTCAGCAACATTGCCAACTCTGTAAGGACTCGTACGCCTCCCCAACTGGCAGCAGTAAGCATGCTGACATCTAGACCAATCCGGCTATTAACCACGCATGCTGTAACATTTCAGCATAAAAGAAATAAGTGGTACAGTTCTCTCTCTTTCTCTCACCCTCTCTCTATATCAGTCTACTCCTCCCCCACCCACTCCTTGTAATATTGTGAATTCCTGGGGAAATCCCAGAGAGTTCCCTATCGGGAGGACAAGGTCAGAAGACAAGTGATACAAGAGGAAAACGAGATAAGTGGGTCTCGAGTATCCCGTGGTGAGTGAATAAAGGATACAAGAAAAGCGTGAGACTGGAACTGAAGACGTGAACCCAGAGAGGGTAGTAAGAGAGTTGAAGTTCGGACCTGGTTGTGTGCGGTCGTATGTGAGAGAGCACATGATAAGAATGGAGAACTTGTAGTCACGTATAATTGTTCGAGAGCAGAGATGGATGTTTCCTGATTGCCATTTTCAACATGTACTAATACCAGATACAATACGTTAGTATGGTACTGATGTGTGATCCGAGAGATACGAACGGAGCGAATCACCGTGTGAGAGAGTTGGCCAGGTCATCAGAAATCAGCCATGCAGAGCGACGAAAGAATACGTTAAGTCTATGAGATGTTTGTTTCAGCGAATAAAGGTAAATAACTGAACGTTCGTCATCTGGTGTGTCCTAGCAACTATGTATACGTCAATATAGCAATGTGCCGAGTAGAATCAAACCCCTAGCAGAGCACATTGCACCCCCACCCCCCTTTTTTTTTTCTTTCGCTGTCTCTAATTCTGATGTAAAACGATTTTAGCTGATTTAATAATATCTGGGTCTTTGACTCGTTGGAATCACATATTCAAAAAATTGTTCCGGTATTATATCCACTGAACTTGTCCACCTAAATATGATTTTCGATAATAAATTTGCTTCAACAGCTCCATGTAAAAATGTAATTGCCACAGCTGTATCAAACACATGCTAAATGTGCATATTAACAAGTGGATATCAACATTTTACTTCCTATGAAATAGCTGACCCGTGATTAACAACCCCATATTAATATTTTTTGGGCAGCGAAATATCAGACACATAAGACTGTTCTATTTAACAACTTCGCACCACTGATATATCAGACACATGTTCAAAGTGCTATTAAACAACTCACACTAACATTCTACTCACTCTGAAGTATCAGACACATGATACACGTGCTATTAAACAACTCACACTAACATTATACTCACACTGATGTATCAGACACATGATACAAGTGCTATAAACAATTCATATAAACATTTTACTGGCACTGATGTATCGGACACATGATACCAGTTCTATTAACTATTTCACGCTAACGTTTTACTGGCAATTATGTGTCAGACACATGATACACGTGCTATTAAACAACTCACACTAACATTATACTCACACTGATGTATCAGACACATGATACCAGTTCTATTAACTATTTCACGCTAACGTTTTACTGGCAATTATGTGTCAGACACATACAAGTGCCATTAAACCACTTCATTCCAACAATTTACTCCCACTGATGTATTAGACACATTACAAAAATGCTATAAAACACCTTTATTCTAACATTTTCGAGTTGTCTCTTGTACATCCCATGATCATCCGCATAGCTTCACTCTGTATGCACTTCAGCTTCACTAGTTGACTTGACTAGGTACGTAAAAGTAAAAGTAAAGTAAATATCCCTTTTCACGCCTTTAGGTGCATCGGTAATATGGGAAGAGCATCCTTATTTTTCCAGACCATTCGGCAGTAGGTGGGTAATTTGGTCAGCATTACGCCGGCCGTCTTTACTTCCCTAGGACTTACGGCCTGGTACCAATTTTAGGCTGGGTCGACCTGCGACGCCCCATACCACGATAAAAATCCACGGAGCCAGCAGTGGATTTCGATCGCTGTACGTTGGAATTACGAGACGGACTCGCCACGGACGCCGCGACTAGGTATGTAGGATAAGGCCAGTCGTTTCACGGAATGTAGTCGAGCAATGTTGGCAGGGAGGGAATTACGGGGGAATTCATGTCACTGCCTTTTCTTGTTTGTGTTTCTTGAATTGCTTCTGCTGTTCTGGACAATTGGCCATATTTAAGGCCTGCCTATATTGCGGCCGCTGGCAAAACCAGAGTGGGGCTTAAAATAGCAAAAAATTACGTCCTAAAAAGGACGTAAGGAATCATAAAAATATTGCAGTCAACACAGTCTTAAATGGGTCGAAGTTAAGTCCTAGAAAATAGAGACGATTGGCGGGATGTTGACAACCGAGTGCCGATTGGTCCGTAAAATAGTAAGTGAAAATGTAAAGTAAAGGACCCTTTCCCACGTATTCAGGCGTATTAATCATATCTGACTAGACCTATATTTTATAGAACAATCGGCACTTCGTGAGTGATGTGGTCAACACCACGCCGACTGCCGTTACTTCCCGAGACTGCACTTGCTGCCTACTCACTAGGTGATCTCGAATCCACTATCATTTCTTTCAGCAAAAAGCCTGGTTCCATTAGTATCCGAACCCACGACCTTCCAATCCGCAGGTAAGCGTTTAGCCGCTACACCACTGCGACTCCCCCATAAAATAGGTTCAGCATAAAATACCCAAATACGCCAGAAGGCTTCGACACGAGTCCTTTAGTTGCAAGAAGCCTAGTAAAAAAAATACCATCACACTAATGATCAGGTAAAGGCATTTTTAGGAAAAGCGACAAATAATATTAGAACACAAAAATATGAAGGCAGAAGGAGAAGACAGACAGACAGACAGACAGACAGACAGACAGACAGACAGACAGACAGACAGACAGACAGACAGACAGACAGACAGACAGACAGACAGACAGACAGACAGACAGACAGACAGACAGACAGACAGACAGACAGACAGAGGCAGGCAGGCAGGCAGACAAACAGACAAAAAAGCAGAATGAAGAGGGAAGTAAATAAATAACATAATTTTCATCAACATTAACAACTAAATTCTCAGTTGCAGAAGAACTCACCCATCAAAACAGTGGGCGGCAGTCATCACATGGTATGCGTCCAACACAGTACATTCACACTTAAACACCCCATTTATGAGCAACATGCCAATCCAAGGAAACTCTCCGCGCCTTGCTTCTGTCCCGCCGAAGATTTTCCCTGACGGAAAAACTCGACCATAGTTACATGTTTGTTCTGAAAGAGAAGAAAGTGGTGACAGTTTTCTTACCTGAAACTACAACAATCATTGACCGTGACTTACATAATCCTTATTTTGCAGTGAACCTCTTGCCGTCACCTCTTGCCGTCACCTCTTGCCGCCACCTCTTGCCGTCACCTCTTGCCGTCACCTCTAGCCCCGCCTATCTACCCTACCTCTCTGGGTCACTTTCTGAGTAATGAATTGGGTTATCTTACCGTCACGCCGGTGGAGCTTCAGGTCGTTGCGGGACAAGACAACAGGTGCTCAGTTTCACCCTTGAATATCTTCTTCTTTCTTCTTCTTTGGTTTCACCTGCTGCAAACACCGACGGAAAGTCTCGTTCCCTAAACTGAGCGTTGCATGCAGATACGGTTAACAGATCTAAGTCATTTGCATGCACTGTTGGTTCCTTGCCTCTCAGGCAGATGTACTCCGACTTCGAAGGAAGCTGCCAATTAGTCGATCCTTACGACATGCTTTTGAGCAGGCAGTGGCTCTATTCTTTTTTCCCCAACACTGGGGCCCCGAAACCCACACAGGGGTCCCCTTTAATATATACATCAGTGTCCTGCAAGTAAAAGTGCCAGTTGATGCTTGTTGACAAGACTTCTAGTACACCCAGTGTGCCTATCCTGCTTGATTCGTATAAATAAACAGAGGAGAAACCTTTGAGGCCGTTAAATATTATGAATTAATCAAGTCACAGAAAGTATATTGATTGGCACTCATAGAAAGAAGTAGAAAGATGGAAGAACACACTAGACAACATAAAAATCGAAAGCTATAGTTACCGTGCCGGGAATTGAACCTGTTACCCCCAGACGGCATGCGCGCCTCGCCATGAATACAAGTGCACTAAAAA